TTATGAAGCTTGATTTTTTTTATTTTTATTTTAGCTGTGCTGGGTTCTGTGAGGAACTCAATTGCTAGGTTCCATGACCCAGCTTCTGCGTTCTGCAGAACCCAGCTTTTGCAGATCTGCAGAGGTTAAAAAAAAAGAAAAAAGCTAGAGGTAGGAGGGTTCTGCTAGGAACCCGATTGATGGGTTCAACAATCCAACTTCTGGGTTCTACAGAACCCAGCTTCTATAGATTTGCAAAGGTAGAAAAAAAAAAAGTCAGAGGTGGGAGGGTTCTGTGAGGAACCCAGTTGCTGGGTTTCACGACCCAGCTTCTCGGTTTTGCAGAACCTAGCTTCTGTAGATTTGCAAAGGTTAAAAAAAAAAAAAAAAAAACCGAAGGTAGGAGAGGATAAGATAGAAAGGGGAAAAAGATGGGGGTAAAAAGGAGTTGAATTTTAAACTTTAAGGGCCAGCAAGGGTATTTTTTCAATACATGGATTAAAAAATGACTTTTTCAATACATGGATTAAAAAATGACTTTTTCCTATAGTAGAGGGACAAAAAAAGATATTTAACCATTAAAATTAATAATTTTAATCATTGAATAGAGTGTGGTGGAAGAGTAATATTTTAAATTTTAGCAACATAATACATGTTGCTAATGAGTGATGGATTTAAAATTCAAAAAGTGGTAAACTTTCAGTAACATAGTTTATGTTGCTAAAAGTTCTATATATTGCCCCATCCCCATCCATCTCCCATCCTTTTTATTATTATTATTATTATTGTAGCACATATTCATCCTCCATATAATTGTTTACCCATTTTTATCCATTATATAATATGTTAATTGTATTTATTCTTTGTTATCATTAAATTCTCATATATATCACTAATTAAATAAATTTCATCAATTCTCAAATATTTTTATAAATATTATATTATTAAGTATGTATCAATTTAGTTGAAATTTAATATATTTATAAATAATTATATATAATAACTAACAATGTTGTTATTTTGTTTGTTTTGTAGGTAATTTTTAATAAAATAAAAATTTTTAATTTGTTAAGATAATTAATTAGACTTAATTAACTTAAGTTATTTAATTTAAATTTAATAATATAGAATTAATAAATACTTATATTATATATGAGATATCAAAAAATTTAATATTTAGTGATTATAAAAAAAAAGTGAATTTTAGATTTAAATAATGTAATAATAATATTATAAAATTAATGTATTATTCACCTCACTATCAGCAACAAGGAGTATGTTGCTGAAAATAGGTTTGTTGACTATTCACCTAAATTTTTAACAACAAGGATTATGTAGCTAATAATGCACTATCAACAATATAGTTTTTGTTACTGAAAAGTGGGGTACATGCACTTCCGTTAACTTTTAGCAATATAAGTTATGTTGCTGAAAATATTTTCAGTAACATGGCCTATGTTGCTGAAAATGAGGTTAAATTCATCCTAATCCTTGCGATTGCTGGTTTATTACTTATTTTCAGCAACATAAGCCATATTGTTGAAAACCTGAAAATTCTTTACCACTTATCGGTAACTTTTGCCGGATTCCAATAAACAATTTTATCAACATGGAGCACATTGTTAAAACTATATTTTCAGCAATGTGCATTATATTGCTGATGTGTTAGCAACAATTTGCTCGTTGGTGATATATCGGCCAATAAGGTTTCTCCAACAAGACTTTTACCAACAAAAACCATGTTACTAAAGAACTTTTAGTAACATGAGAAGCACTTTCAGTAACATAGGAAGCACTTTCAGCAACATGCTTCCATGTTGCTGAAATTAAAAATTTTAGTAGTAGAAAGTGCATGGTTTCTAGTTAGAGAAATGCTTACTTTTATTTAAAATATCGTAATGAATTTTAACTATTAAAAATAAAGAGATAAACAATTAAAATTTTGTATAAATTTAGTATATAAAAATTATATTTAAGTAGATTCCTGCCCGCTTCCTATAGCTTTGTGCTTTGTCTTAAAATCTGTTCGTCGTTACAGTAGTCTTGTATACATGGATCCATGAGAACATAAAATTGGTATTGCAATTAAAAAATGTTGAGCCACATGCGCATATAGCACACGTACGCTGCGTAATTTCGCGACAAACATACGCATTTCTCCACCCACATCTTTATTCTTTCTTTTTACGCGTTTTCCTTCTTCTTCGTAATTGTACACCACATTTACTTACATGTTCATGTGCATGGAGGCACACTTCTATGGCTACAAATGATTTGTTCTAACTTATACGGCAGTCGTTGCAAGTATTAATTATATCGGGCTATCACTATTTTCTTGAGTCATGAAATTGGGTTTAATTTGCCGTATCACTACGAAATCTAGAAATTTTGAACTTATCTTATCTTCATTTATGAAAAATGTTGGTTTTATTTTACTTCCGGCATGATACACAGGACCCACAAGATCAAAACCAGGAGAATTTTTTTTTTTTTTTTGCCAAATACCTAAGAGGAAGGTCCAAAGTACAAAACTCTTTATAATTCCATTAAAGTTGCAATATTTACTCAATTATAGCCCGAACCCCATTGATCACAAATAGGGGGTTCGGCCTCAAGCAAATGCTAGTACTGTATCCCATGAAAAAGATAAAGAAAGGAATAAGTAAGTTCCTCCACTCCAACCAAGGAATCAGCATTGTTAGTACTAGTATGATTATTGAAGTTATTATTGACTTGGGATTAAAGTTAACGAACCTGGTGACTTGGATTACTTAACCACTATTGATTAAATATTGTCCTGATTAAGACGTTATTAGGTAATAACACCTAACCTAGACCCGTCGGTGCTCTTCTCATTTCTTTCTTGCTTGGTAGATCTCACACTTTTTATCCATTGTCTGCTAAAAAGATTCCATGCTTTTTTTCACATCATTGTCCTTTTAAAATTCATCTTTTTTTTTTACCAAATTTTGAATTAGGATCTTTAATTTATCTAAAAGTTTGCCTAAATTGTACTTAAGAACATAAATTAAAAATATATTAATTATACTTTTTTACATTTACTTAATTACTTTAAAAAATAATAAAGGTTGACTTTATTTTTATTATAAATACCACATAAGAATTTAATAATGATAAGGAGTTTATAAATAATGGGTAAAAACCTATCTATTTAATAACTAATGTTTTGCAATTGAGAATCAAATTCAATTTTAAATTAAGCGGTCTATTGAAATTATTTTTTTGACATCGCTTGCTTCCTCAAGTTTACCCCTTTAAGTGAATTAGTATGGGAATTTTATAAATCATTGTCAACTTATTTGCTTTAAAAAAGGTTCTTTCTTGGTAATCTTTAGTATGTGGAGTTTAGTGTTAAAAAATTTCTTAGATTCTTGCCTTACCGGTTGAAAACGTGCATGGTATTATTAAGGTTTTAAACATGAGAAAGTAGTGAGGGGAAATTGAAAAAAATGTATAATGAATATTATTTTTGAGATATCCGATGATTACATATAACAACATTTTTTTTGATGTTATATATAACAACATTTATATAATTTTTAGGATAGATATTATATGAATATAAATTAAATACATTGAAATATCTTAAATCAATTTACCCTAGAGCAGTGCCAGGGGCACTCGCTTTTGACACTTCTTCGGCCAACACTTCCCCTTTCATTGGGCCACGTAAGCTTCTTTAAAAGCTTTCAACGCAACCTCTCGTAAACCAAAATAAAGTAGCCCAATAAAAGAGAAAGTGTTGGCCGAAGAGTGCAGAGGCGATTGCCCCTAACACTGCTCTTTACCTTATTAACCCAATGTTAAAAATCAAATATATTATCAATAACCTGTTAATTTGAGTAGAATAAATTCAATTTTTTTAAAATAAAATTTCAAATTTAAATCATGTGAATGGAAAAACAGGTATTAATAGAGTTTCTTCTCACTGAAGTAGACGTGATTTGATTTCGAATTAATCAAATCCTAATTATATCCTAATGAGATTATCAAATATTCAAAAGTTAATATAAAAAAAAAATCAAATATATTATTCAATTTTAAATATTTAATCACTAATATGACTGATTCTCTCAATATTATGTCCACTCAAGCTAAATGTGATTCTACCAACTTACCGGAAACGGGACGAACACTTGACACTAGTGAGTGATGAGAAGGCCATTAAAAAACTGAACAAACTACTAAGAAACCACCGAAAATCACTCATAAACTCTCAAAACATAAACTGACCCCAATGGTGCCATGATCATCAATCAAAAGTATTTTGTCCCCTAATATCAAGGAAGCTTGGTTGGCATGGAAATTGCTCAATTTATTTATTTATTTTCCTAATAAATATGTTACCCCAATGAAAAAAAAAAAAAAAATCCTGGGACCTTTAGATTGAAAATCAGTGAACAAGGGTGGAACCTACCTTTCTGACTGCTACGCGTGAGATCTCCGAAGATCGTGGCATTGAAGTCACAGAAGCGCCAAATCTTTAATATCTACCACGGTGGGGTGGACTAACGTAAACATGATTCCTAAGTCAGCTCATAAACTTAGTTCATTTTCTCAATTTTACCATCAAACTTATTTTCAATCCAATTAAGCCCAAATGCTATGCATTATCAGT